ATGTTCCTAATACCACTGTTTATTTTTTAAAATTTAAAACCATCTAATTGAATATAGTTGAACTTTTTATGTTTGAAGTTTGCGTCAAAAGTTTTGGATAAAGTACTGAAACTACTAGCCACCAACTTTGCCCTCCCCTCCCATCATTTCCACTTACGTAAAGGTTGGGTTGATACTGTTCAATCAATGTTACTAGAAGCATAATAATTAATTGAGCCAATTGAATTGTAGGTTAGTGTGGACATTTTTTGAAATGCAAATTAGATCATTTAATTGTGCCTAACTAACAAACTATATCTATTTGTACAATCCTTCTATTTATATAATTAAAAATAATAAGCAAGTATTTTCTTCACATATTGAAAGTTTAAACGGGTGAATTGTTACAATTAAATCAGAACAACTATTTATCAAAAGCAATACTTTGCAAGCTTAAGTATAGTCTTTAAATCGATGAGAGAGCGATGTTTAAGTGTATAAATAAACTAGAAAAAAATATTAAAATATATTTATCACATAAAATAGCATTAAGCTAAAAGAACTATACTAATATATTGCGATGGTTTAATGGTTTATGTGGTAACTCTTGTGGAACAGCATGGATTATCTGATCAGAAAATTCAAGTTGTTTCCCCTTGATAGTTTAATGGTAAATAAGGGGACATAATATGTAAGGAACAACAAATATGGTTGAAATCATGTCTGTTATATACAATTATTACACACACCCATCCTCATTCGCTAATTTTTATCCCGTTCCCTCGCTTGGACGAAAGAAAATAATCCAAGCCAATAATTTATGAGATAATTTTTAATTTTATCTAGATAGAATTTTAATTTTAATGCGTAGTTTAGGTTGTGGACACTGGATTTAGTGAGAATTAATAAAAGAAATAATTATGATACAAGATGACTGCTAATAGATTTTAGATACATGTAAGAAATAGTGAAAGATAAATATGATCGCAAAAATACTGTAAAAAGAAAGGACAAACAAATCTACGAAAGTGACATACGTGTAGCTCACTTAATCATGATTTTATTAATGTAATAAGTGGGATTTGGTTTGGATTTATTCGTGAAATGTATTCTCAGAGCATTTGTTTCTTTGACATGTCGTTGTCCTATTGGTGGTGACTTGCTAGAATAATCTTAGTGGGAAGTGGGTAAGTGAAGATTAAACATAAAATAATGTTTCTTATTTTAAGATGTGTTTAGAGCAAGTGTCACATTTGGGAAAGGAATATCGTAGTATCCCTGTTGTCCTTGGCGTGTACGTTGGGTGGTGGAAGTTGACGACCAAGGAGTCTACGAATGGGGCCCAAAGTTGGAGCATGAATTAGGGCCCATATATACCTTAATTACACCCCCACCTCCTCCTTTTAATTTGTTAATTGTTTACTGCCTTTCCTTCTCGGACAAACGATAAGGTTTGAAATTTGTAGTCTCCAACTTTACTATCCTTGTTATTATTATTATTTAATTTTTGTTTATATACATATGCGTTTGGTACTTGGTTGGGACTTAATGAAAGTTACAATCATGTGACAAAGATAGATCATGATCATTAAGCTACCGAGTACCAGTTTGAAAATAAGCTTAAAGGCGTACAAATGAATGGGAAACCTAATGGCAAATTGTGTGGCAGGCAAATCATATATAGTGGAGGAGCAGGGTGGAGGGCACTTCAATATTAATGTTCCATAGTCTTTTGCATTATTTGGAATGCGTCTAGCTATTTAAACTTATTGTATTATTGCATAATCCTGCTTCTATGTATATGTAAAATGAAAGGGAAATCGTGTCTCTCTGATGTCAAGTTTGGATTACGGTTGTGAAATTATTGATTAGTTCTAGTTGGTTCCTTATATGTAAGCGCAATTACGCGAGTCAAATATATATATATATATATATATATATATATATATATATATATATATATATATATATATCATTTGGTAGGTTGCTATTTGTTAACTGAAGCCGAATGAGCGTTCATACGTAGACAAAGCCCAATCCCCCCAAAAGCAGAAGGTTCATTAATTCAGACAGAATGGGAATAGGAAGAGAGAGTAAATTAACGTCAGCCACTTAGCCACAACAACCTCCCTGATTGTGATATAATTCTTCCATAATTTTCTCGTTTTAATAGATTCTTTTCTTGTATTCTAATTTAATTATCGTTTTATATAGTTAATAACTAAATATTTTTTAATATCTTATTCTTAAAAATTAATTGATCTATTATTTTGAATAAATATATTAATGTACAAGTAATATCTAAAAGATACATTGATATCAAGTATCAAATTTAAATATTTATATATCTTAATAATTTTTTATATAATATTATTAATTCAACTTTTAAATAATCTTGTATATTTTTATAACTACGTATATTAAATTTTAAGCAAATTAGATATTTATAAATATATTATCTAAAATTCAATATTCATTTATATTTAAAAAATATATTACACATTAAAAAAATTAATATAATAGAATACTTATTATTTATTAATAAAATTCTACAAAATTAATTATTTTATAAAAATTTAATTTAATTTCATATTTTATAAAAAAATATTAAGAGATATAAATGTATTTAACTCTAGTTTCAACAAATTTGACTCATATATATTAAACGAGCTGTTGCATGTACCCTATTTTGGTTTGAAAGTAGTCAATAATATTTTTGTATAAAATTGTAAGTATTATTAGACATTACTTTCATAATTCATAGAATCTTATTTTTAATTTAAAGTACAAGTATTTTTTCATAAAATAATTCAGTAATCTTAGACAAATTCAAAACAATTGGTTAATTTACAAAATACTTTAGTAGTTGATTTATGCATTTATTAGTATAGTCAATGGAATTCTAGTGTATTATAAGTGAAAATATTTTATTAAATTTTTTTATGTGTTAAGTATATTATTTAATAAGATGATAATTTTTTTTTTTAAAATTTTTTATTATAATAAATAAGTTTGTTAATATTTATCAATAAATACGTGAATCAACTGAAAAAAATTATTTGAATTTTACATGTAGTCTGTAGTTTAAGTTCCAACAAATGACATGTGTGTTAAATATTTATTTATATTTTAAAAAATTGATTTTAACTTTTTTTCCTTTTTCAAACTTTAATTTACTCACCTTAATTTTTTTTCACAATAGTTCAAATGTAAACTATCTATCTTTAAATTAATTTTGTTTAAATTCTTTTAAATTTTTCCTGTCTTTCATCGTTAAATCTGAATTCTTCATTTATTTTTATTTGTTTATAAAAAAATTAAAAAAAATTCAGACACTGCATAAGATAGTTGGTACTTACATTAAATATGAAGCCTAATCACTTTAACTTGCAAGAGTAAATTATTTGTTTTCAAGTTTGATTTTATCACATTTTTTAAGTAACTCGTATATATAATGCACTAATAAATTGTTTTAAAAAATATACATATAAAAGAATAATTAAATAATAAAAATTTAAATATTTTTAATATAGTAAAATTTTATTTATAATATAAAATTGTTAAATATTTTTCTCTCATATTATTCATCGTTATTTTATTTATTTATATTTTAAGTCAGCAGCTTTTGGGAAAAACAATGAATGATGTAAATTATATTCTTTCGACCCACTTCATTTATTATTTATTAATGCTGTCCAATTAAAAATAAAAAATAAAAAAATGAGAGATTCCGTGAGAAAGGAGTATACCGTGGACACTCCCGTCACGCCATGCATGCGCCGCCGTTTCAGGATGGATACAATGAATCTTCTTAATCTAACGGCTGAAACGGATTTTCCTCTCGCTTTACTCAGTACAGTACACTACATAACTATTTCTCTCACGCTCATCAGGTGCTCCCCCACATCCACCTTACCATAATGGGCCCAATCTTGAATTACGTGATGTCACATGGTCCCATACTGCATTATATTATTTTAACAATATTACATGAACACGTTAACAAATACTTTAGTATTTATTAAAAATTAAAAATTATACAAAAAATATATTTATTATTAAAAAGTAACTTTTATTTTTTTTTGCAAATATTATATATCTCATTTGTAGAAGCAACAGGGAGTTGTACGGGTACCCCAGGCAACATCCCATTAAAATGTTTTAGTATAAAAACATGGCAGCCCAAGCATTTTGGTAGGAGAATCCCTTTTTTATATATACTATTATTCCATGTTAAATTCTTAATTGTCTAGGAGCAAATCACAAGTTGGAATCTTTGTATCCCGATAGAATTTACAATTACGATATGCGACTTAAACGAAAGTAAGATCCAAAGCCACTGGGCATTTTTGCTTTATATTTATTTTGAGATCATAAGCAAACTTTATTGATTACAATAACCCCAACTCATGAATCATGCATGCATATGTACGTTATTTAGAATTAGAGAAGAGGATTTAACGAACATTGTAATAATATAATTAATCAAAAAAGAAGAAGAAATTTGTTACTGTAAGTTTGGATCTTATCTATAAATGATATGACACACAGTAAAGGCCACCACAAGAGTGACAAACCCAGGGATTAAAAAACCACTTGTATATGCTCTCTTTTTTTTTAAATTAGTTAATTACATCATTAATTATCCTGATAAAGGGGTGTGAAACAATAAATATCCTCAAAAGAAAAACCCATGAAGGGGTATTTTATTTGAGTGTTTGTTTCTTGGCAAACATGCAAGAGGATCATATTCTCTTGCTCTCTGATATGATATTGACATGACGAGTGCGCATTCCTTGCGATAATAATCCTATCCTCTATTGAGAAACCCATAAACAAAATAAAATAAAAATTTGAGAAAGTCACAAAAACGTAGATGATACCCCACATGCCCCACACTGCTCATGAAAAATGACGACATCAATCACCTCTCTCTCTCCCATAATCCAAAACAATCAAAAACCCCTCTATAAATACCTTTCCACCCCATTACCCACTCCTCAACCCAATCTTTCACTAACTTTTCCCTCTCACAATAATTCCCTTTCTTCTTTTTTCTTTCCTCTGTTCTCTCTGTTTCATATAAACAAAAATGGCTGCATACAGAGAACCCATGAACGTGAACGAGAGAGCCCCTGTTTCCGCGCAACAACCACACTCGCCATGGCATTCTCCTGTTCCTTACTTGTTCGGTGGCTTAGCGGCGATGCTGGGTCTCATAGCTTTCGCTCTGTTGATCCTTGCATGTTCCTATTGGAAGCTCTCGGGGTACCTTGATGGGAACGGGGAATCAGAGCGAGACCTGGAAGCTGGGGAGGGAAAAAACGAGCAAGACCAGAAACCGCAGACAGCGTATGAGGAGAAGATCTTGGTGATTATGGCGGGGCAAGAGAAACCAACATTCTTAGCCACTCCGAGCATGTCTTCGAGCACCAGCACTAGCAGGTCGTCTTCTTTCGGCGACAACAGCAGCACCTGTACCTGTGAACAGAGCCAAAAATCGCAGGAAACGGCACAGACCGTGAAACAGGGAAGCGGCGGGACCACGGAAACACCACACACAGACACAGACACCTCGTCAGATCAAAACAGTTGAACTGCATCGCCACATGTTTGTTCGGGAATTTGTTTTGTAGCTGGGTTGGTAAATGGTAATTACATGAAAAAAATAGCAAAGCTCGTGAAGCTGGTTTTTGGAACTTTGTTTTAGGTGTCTCTATTTGCAACTGAGCTTGCATGTTCAACAATTGGTGGGAATTGATTTAGAAATTAGAATTAGATTCTTCTTACTCTCTCTCTCTCTTTTTTCTTTTCATGTGTATATTATTTCGGGAATGTAAATTCGTTGAGGTGGAATGGAAAGCCTTGTTGTTTCACAATTTTAGTTTTGGTTTGGTTTAGTTTGGTTTTTAGATAAGAATTGTAAGAGGGAATTTTAACACACAGGAGGGCTAGTTTTGGCAGAAAAAGAGAAGGAAAAAGAAGATGAGGTACCATATGTCCGTGGTGTCTTAGTCGTATTATGAAGAAGGTAACGTGTAAAGCCGTATATGCAAGCAAGAATAGAAGACTTGGTGTATGTGTGATGTGTTTGATGCGGCGAGAAGAAGCCGTGAAATGAAGTAGCCGCACTGTTCCTCGTGGCACTCTTTTAATTTGCTTCTGTTTAAAGCCTACCATTTTTTTATTTCTATATTCTCTATTCTTCGGTTTTTTGTCTGGCGTCTACCAAGTTCTAGGTTTTCTGTTGAAAACAGCTTCTGGAAATTCTGAAACTGCTGATTTAAGGGCTGGCATTTTCTTAATGTTTCTAGAATAATAAAGTTTCGTTGTTTCAACTTTCATGCCAAACAAACATTTTATCAGAGCCAAGCCAAGGTTTAAAATAAAGTAGATTTACCCTATCCTACATCTGTTTCTGTTTTCTTGTGTCCAGAATTCATATTAGGGATGTTATTAATAGGAAAGTTAGTAAGACAAATTTTTTATTAGGCTAAAATTTATTAAAAATTTAAAAAGTATAATAAAATTATTAATTTAAGTGTGAGAAAGAATAATAATTTTATAATTTTTAATAAATTTTAACTAATAATAAAATAAGCGAAATGTTTATTTCTCTCTCTTGCATTCATTATTATTAACAAGTAATTTTTAATGTCTTAGAAGCGTAAATGTGGCATTAAATATTTTGGCCCTGAAATACATTTTCCATTTTGTAGACTGCTTTAGTTGTCGTAAAGTCTAAAATAACATTTTTTTTATTTGGGGGGGTCCTCTTATTGATTGATATTCTTTTCAGGCATTGAAGAAGTGGGGTAACTCAAGACGGTATTGCGGGTTTAATGCATGTCGAGAGTGTGCCTCCAAAATCATGATAACATCAAGCAAAATTGTTTCGTATTGGTACTTGTGAAGTATATAGCAGTGCATATATTGCATATGTTACAAAGGGTGTCTGTAACTGAAATGCGTAGTACTTCTATATTCCCCCCCGAAAAAAAGTTAATGGTAAAGTGTGGGGAGAAATATATAATAGAAACATAATCCTTTAATTCTTGTAATTGGTCGATCAAAGCAAAACCAAAATATAAACGAATATCTGTACAATATTGCATGCGGAATAGGCAATCTTGAGCTGTTGTTCCTATTCTTTCCCTTCTTAAGAAAAATCTAATAATCGCCAAGTGTATTTCCCTTGTTTCGTTAAAGCAACCCCATATTCAAAAGATTTTCTTTTGTGTGTTAATTACGTGAGTAATAGCTATAACAATAGTCTTTGCTAATCCATGAATGAAAGATAAAAAGATGATGACACCGCTTTCCTTGATATTTGACTTGAGGTTCTATACTCTTTTGCATAGAAAATGCGTCCTCCAATTGCTTAGTGTAGCGCACCATATACCTTTTCGGGTAGACCTTGATGTACTCGTTCACCAAGAATTCTGTTCATCTATAATCTTCATGCTTCAAGTCATGCGTAGGTTTTGTCTAAAAATACATAAATTTAATATTGTAAGCGACTAAAACCATTGAATTACAATGGACCGTTCGGTTTATACTGGCCACAAGATGTTCAAGAAGTTACGAAATTGAAATTAAAACCTATACGAATATGCACCATATGATAATTGAAAACATGTTCCGTGTGAAAATAAATTAGGTTCCACAAAAAGAAAACACGAACAAAGAGGGAGGGGGAGAAAAGACATGCTTGTTAGTTGACAAATAAATGCAGTCGCCATTTTTTGGTAACCCTATTGCACCCCAAAATTGGATTTGGGGAAAGGAAAATGCTAATTTAACGTGATGGTGTCTCTAAAATAAAATCAACTTGGTCTTTAATCGTGGAAATCAAAAGTAAACTACGACGTTAGATTTCATTTCCCCCTTTATCCTCATTAAGTAGAATCAGGAAATGATCAAATTCCTTTATATACTACATCTTTGGTTTTCTCTCCTCTTTGGGAACGATGGTTGATTTTGTTGCATATTCTGTTGCCTCTGTTTTCCATAGGTGGCAGCCTCCCCCTACCCCGACCATATTCAAATACATAATCTTGTTAATATTATGGTTAATTATTTTAAAAATGGGTTTGATAAAATAATTCATAGGAATATGAGTTTTTGGGATTAATTTTGCATGTATAGGTTTTAAAAATTACTTATAAAATTGAAGTATAAAAAATTGCTCTTATTATTGACTCCAGAATTTCATATTTTGGTAAATTAACACTTTTTTTACATTAAAAAAATCAGTACACTTTTTAATGATAAATATCTTTTTTTTTAAAAAATAAAATCTTACAACTTTTTAATCCTTAAATTATGCCTTAAAAGTTAATACTAACATATTTCATATATATATATATATATATACACATACATACATATATAATTTTACAAATTTTTTTTTAAAAATTAGAGTTGTTTTAAAACAAAATTGAGGAAAAAGTTGAAATTCTGATGCCTACCAATGATCAAAGGAAGTAAGAAGTTATCCTTTTTCTATATGTATGAAGTTGCAATTTGAAGAATTAGGAAGAAAGAAGCAAAACTACATAACAGAAACCAACAACTAATATGAAAATGACAATGGCAATTTAGTGGGATAAATATGGTCCTATGCGGCTAGCTGTCTAGCTTGTATCGGGTTCAAATCGCTAAACCCATTGTCGTTGTTAAGGCTTTATTGACATTGATGCAACGGAATTGTCTGCATTATTAAAGAAGGCTATATGGTTTCAATCGAAAGAAAACAAAATTTATAAATGAAAAAAAAAATGAAAGAAAACGAAAATTCAGGAATATCATGCATAGAGGATAAAATTAGTAAGACATCAATATTGATATCATCATGCGGGCAACCCTTCCCTTGATCCCCTCCTTATCTATATCATTGATGTCATCATGTAACTACTTCATTAATTACTTGTAATTCTGCATCCATATCCATACATGTAATTGAGCATGATCATTTAATCAATGTTGGTTACTTTATGATTGATATATGTATGAGGGCGACATCAATTTCCTCCCACAATTCAATGACTCCTTCAAATGTGTTCACAAGTTGAGCAAAATGTGAGAAGTAACAACTATATTTTTGCATACGCCTGAACAGCGCAAAGCAAAATGTCACACAGCAACCTCCATTTGGGTCAGCATCCAACTATATATAATCATGCTGTAATCACCTCCTCCACTGGATCGTCTATTCAATTTAGTCTTTGATTCATGTATATCCACCTTACCTTAAAGAGATCATACAAACGAACCCCTTTTTCAATCTTTCACGATGTTAAATAATTGAAGCGATATTGCTAGCTTCTACAGTTATTACATCAATGTTCAAGTAGATTATAATGAAATCGTTTGGTCACGATGTCTTGAGATTCCTGTGGGTGACGGTTGTTTATAAAGAGAAACCTGTGGATTCAACGAGGATGAGGTACCAATAATTGTGAGTTGCCCATTAGCTACTTCGCGTCAAATCAAAACATTCCTTCATATAATGATGACAATAGTGTAGCCAAGGCACTGAACTTCGATTACGTTTTTTTCTCACTACCATGAAAATGGTCGAAAACCACAACTTTTGGACGCCTCAGTATATGCGTGTATATGGCTAGATAATGACCATGTCGATGTAATAATAATAGTATAAGACATGTCAAAGATTTTTAAAATACAAGACAACCCAGTTAAATATAAATATTATATAGTATATTTATGATGAGTGAAGTTTTATTTATTTTTTTATGGAAGTTGAAGCTTTTTTTTTTTCATTTGAAAATTTAATTGACCGTACCATGTTGGAAAAAGTCTTGTCGGTTGTTTCTTTCAAAAACTTCTTTTAGATAAGGTCTAAGTATAGATTCATATCATTTAACCTTTGTTAATATTTTTCATAAGAATATAATACGATATTTTGATGTTAATTTAAAATTTATATTAATTTATTTGAAATATAACGAGCAAAATAATTTAAATGTAAAATTCAATTATTTTAAAATTGACTATAATTGAACTAATAAATTTAATTCAATATAAACATATTATTTATTATTTAATGAACTTCATGTGAGTTTTATTAAACACCATGGACCCAGCTTATATTTGAAAGAATCCATATGAATTCACTAATAATAAAGTGTATTAAATAATAATTTAAAATTATTTCTTGAACTTTTTAAAAATAATATCACGGTGTAAGGTTTTTCAGCCCATTTTGATTTGAAACGATTTCTCATGAATTTTTTGTCAATCAGTGAACAAGATGGCCTAAGGAGGGAAACCCCACAGAGGTCACAGGCCCAAAGCCCAAAATGTTTTTCATTAAGCTATAATGTTTGGCAAACAAAACCCAACCCAACGACCCTCAAGTCCATTAATTTCTAGCCATGGCATGGGCCAGCTCATATATTTTAGCTTTTTGCATTATGATTTTTGCTAATTACATCATGGCCTTGTTTTTTTAGGGTGGTGTGAAAAAAATGGCAAGCATGCCCAACTGTACAACACCAATTTATGTCCACCATAACATCTTGGGCCTTGGGATCAAATATAGAGAGGTTTATTTAATAGGCCAAAAGACTTTGACAAAAAATTAAACTTTTATGTGAAAATTTAGTCGGTGAATATTTGTTTTAAGTCTTTTAGTACGTCATTTTGGAATTTGGAATGAGACGACTTTAACATTTTTTCTATAATTAGAAATTCAACGACAGAGATATGAAAGAAAAACTTCGCAAATATATAGACGATTAAATATTCAATAAAATGTAAAAACATACAAATGCAACCACATCTAAATTGAATGTCATATAGCAATTTGGATAGATGAGACATGACATCAAGTTGACCAACATTTTAATTTTGTGGTGCTTAAGAACCTGCAATACGTCCAATTGGCATGTTAATAACACTGAGTCTGATATATATATATATATATATATATATATTGCCTAGGAAAAACTCAAGGTCAAAGACAAAAAACACACGACTTTATATGACCTTGAGCTTCAAAATTACTTCTAATTAATGAAAAAATAGTAAGGTTTAAAAGCTTGTTAATGAATTAAGTGCAGCAATATAGTAAAATATATTTAATTAAGTAGTAAGTAAAATATAAACAAATAATACGCACTATATATAGTTATTTGTGGCCTCCATTTCTTAACCTACAACAATATCCCAAAGTGGTAGTTAAAGGATTCGACTACGATCTACAGCAAAATTTACCAGTAATGTTAAAAATTTTAATCTCAAATTCACCACTTCAAAAGAATTTTATTTAACTATTATCCCTTTTTTAGGATTAATTTTCTGAGAGTTAATCTCACACCTTTATCCGTACAAAAATGTGAAGATTTATAATAAATCACCAAAAGGATATCGCCTTGAAATAAAAAATTAAAAAATGTAGTCGTTAATCTTATAATTATATATAGCATGTAGTGTTCCAAACTAAACTCAAACAGACCATAAATCTTTTAGTTGACTTCACTTGTATATTTGTAAAAAAAATGTATAGATCATCAAGCTGACTGCTGAAGAAGGAATCTTAAGGGCATATTATTTTGTTACAATTACAATTATATCTATAGATCAACAATTTTAAAGAGTACAAGTATATTATTTTATGTTACAATTACAACTGTTAGTATTGTATCTGTTCCAATTCAAACCCCGTAATTTATTATAGTTGTTCAAGCAATCTTGATATGAGAAGTTGAATTAGCCGGCCAAGGTCGTTCGGCCGGCATTTACAAGTGGGATTTTTTAGGACAAAAACGACTTTGGCACTCTTTAAAAGAAAATATTTCATTTGAGGACAAGCTCCTTAAGTTTTTCATCACTTCATATCCCTTCACAGAGTTCCAATTATGGGATCCTCCTTCAGTTGCTGCGGCTCAGAGAAGGTCGAAGAAGTGTATGTAAAATTACTTTTCTTCATTTTACTCTTATGAAAATCATTTTAAAATAAATTAAAATTTGTAACATTGTATGTAATCAGAATTTATATATAGTAAATTTTTAATTAAAATATATAATTAAATACCTTAATACAGTTAAATGTTATAGTTTTTAATAAAAATATTTTTTTATCATGTCAAATTTTTCATGAATTGGAAAAACTGAATTACTAATTTTAGCTTTCAACAAAGTTGTTATAATGATCATTAATCTACATATTATGTTATTGAAATTGAACTTGCAATTTTGTAGGCCAACATCATTTGGTGCAGTTAACAATTCGTGGAAAATATTCACATACAAGGAGTTGCATGCAGCTACCAACGGATTTAGTGAAGATAATAAGCTTGGTGAAGGTGGGTTTGGAAGCGTCTATTGGGGAAGAACCAGTGATGGTCTTCAGGTAAATATTGAATCATAGGCCTCATTTTTATTTATCCACTATATGTTCGTTATTGGGATGTCAATCATGGAGTTCAAAACTCAGTGTCAGTCTCTTCACCATTGACTCTTATGGCTAATGGAAATTGCAGATAGCAGTGAAGAAACTGAAATCAATGAACTCGAAGGCAGAGATGGAATTTGCAGTAGAAGTTGAAGTTCTTGGAAGGGTTAGGCACAAAAATTTACTGGGTCTTAGGGGCTACTTTGTTGGGGATGATCAACGGCTTATAGTCTACGATTACATGCCAAATCTTAGCCTGCTTTCTCATCTCCACGGCCAGTTTGCTGTTGAAGTGCAACTCAATTGGCAAAGGAGAATGAAGATTGCAATTGGCTCTGCAGAAGGCCTTCTGTAAGCTTCCTCCTCACTTCATAACAATTTTCCCGTTTATAAAACATTCGATAAAATACAAGTATTCATAATTTTGCAAGAAGTTATATATGTTGTTTACTCCTGTAAAACGGGGAGTGGAATGGATAGAGAGATCACGTGAGAAGAAGAGAGAAAAAATAAAGTATCTGATGTATGATGAAATAGAAAAAGAAAGAAAGAAAAAAAAATATATAATGTTTTGTTTGGATATAATGGAAAATAAGTAGGAAAAAAATAATTAAGAAAGAAATTGATGAAAAATAAGATAGAAAAATATTTATTCTTGTGAATGGGTGCATCATGTATGGGATTGCTCTGCTCACTGGCCTTAATCGGTACTATCACTTTTGAAGTGTTATTGGAAAGGATATGACTTCTTTTTACTCCAGTGACAGCAAAAGTAACCTTTTTAAGAGTCCTAAAACTAGCAGCATAGCCAAAGATAGCTTATAAAGCATAGTGTGCGTTTAAAAACTTTCTAAAATTACATTTTAATATGAAACGTTAAAATGGATTTATGTTAGAAGAGATTTGATGTCAACATTGAATTAAAATTTATTCTATCTATACCTGTTTGAAAATTTGAAAGTGGACTTATTCTACTCTATCCTGTTTGTTGCTAGGTACTTGCACCATGAGGTCACACCTCACATCATCCATAGGGACATCAAGGCAAGTAATGTACTTCTGAACTCAGAATTTGAACCTCTAGTAGCTGATTTTGGGTTTGCAAAGTTAATACCAGAAGGAGTTAGCCACATGACTACCCGTGTAAAGGGTACCTTGGGATACTTAGCACCTGAATATGCCATGTGGGGAAAGGTCTCTGAAAGTTGTGATGTCTATAGCTTTGGAATTCTTCTATTAGAGCTTGTAACTGGTAGAAAGCCCATAGAAAAGCTTCCAGGTGGGGTTAAGAGAACAATAACTGAGTGGGCTGAACCTTTGATAACCAAAGGAAAGTTCAGGGATTTGGTTGATCCAAAACTAAGAGGGAACTTTGATGAAAATCAAGTCAAACAAGCAATCAATGTGGCTGCTCTTTGTGTACAAAGTGAGCCTGAGAAGCGACCAAACATGAAGCAAGTGGTTAACCTTCTTAAAGGATATGAATCTGATGGCAAAGTGACGACAATGAGGATAGATAGTATCAAGTATAATGAAGAACTATTGGCACTTGACCAACCTAGCGAAGATGATGATGAGGGAACCTCTAGCTACGGTGTTTTCAGTGCCATTGAGGTTCAAAAGCTATGAATGATCCTTACAAGGCCTTTGATAACAAGAAAATGGACTAAATATATATGTAATGAACTTGTTTGTTTTGTGAAGCCTTTTTTATATTGGTTATTGAATCAACTTCTAAGTATAACTTTTATGCAATGACTAATCATTTCATCTTATTCTTTTATTTCCGAGTTTGATTTTCACTCATTGTTAATGTAAAATTTTTATATTATTATTTAATTAGAAATTTTTATAGATATAATTTTTAATTAAATAGCAATATATAATTGAATAATAGTATAAAGATCTTTATACATTATCAATATATTTGACTATATTCTTTATTTATAGAAATTTCAAATTTTATCCTTCACTCGTTGCGAACGATAAGTAGGATAAAAATATACTAATTGTGTGTTTAATTCAATCTAATTTAAAAAATAATCAATAATTTTATATCAGCTTTTTAAGAATTTATTAAAAAATTATTGCTTAAAAAAAATCTATGCCAAATATGTACTAAGCCTATATTCATGCTGTTATATATAACAAGCTGTGCTAAGATATTAATTGGATAAACAAAATATCTTAAAGATAAACGCATAATTCAGAATATTTTTAGAAAAAGAAATTCTTTAAATGAAATAGAATAAATCATTTAAGTAGTATCAACGTTGCTGCAATTTTGAAACCTAGGTCAGGAAAAAAATATCATTTATGAAATATAATTTACAAATAATGAAAATAAATTACCAATAAATAATTAAGGAAATCATTTTCAATTCATAACGATAAATATTGCAACTAAGAAAAACAAAATAAATAACTAAATACTTATCAAATATAATTGTACTTAAAAATTGAAAACACTATAATTTAAAATTTTTAAAATTCAATTTTTTAATCTATGCAACTTTTTATGTAATAAGAAATTAATAAAATAATTTTTTTACATAAAAAAAAAATCAGCATAAAATAGTATTAATGCATTAAATTACATAAAATTTTATAATTGTTAATGAAAAAATATTATAGAAGTCCTTATCATATGAAATGTTGCACGATTAGTAAAAAACCATTCAAAATTTACAACAAGTATTTTGGTTCAATTAGAGTTACATTTTTATTCCCTTCCTTATGTATAAAAGAAAACATTGTCTTTCTTGTGTGGGATAAATTGGAAAAATATGGCATGCACATAAACAGGAACAAAATGATCGCAAATGTGTCCAGTTTAGTTCAAATTGTACGGATGCTTGTTCTTTATTTACACAATGAAGTTTTTTCTTTGCACTATTTTCTACTTATAAATTCACCCAAATTCTAACTAACTTCCTGTTACCCATGGTTTTTTAAATGAAGATGTGTCAACGAACTTGAACCATAAACCTTTTTGCTTGAAATTAAGGCATTCTTCATGTCTTACCATTTCTTTTATGTTTTTTTTTTAACCACAAAGTGCGAAAGTAAGGTGAAATTGTTGGAAATTTCGGCTGTGTGGGGTTTGAATTAAGATGGATTATCCATGTCTTGGCAGTTCCTTAATCCAAATCCCTCGTCTTCTCAATTCCCCCATTAGGTGTGTCAAACCGTTGTCATGTCTCATGCAACATATTTGGATTCTAGCGAAATTGCAAAACTTCTGTCATTTTAGCTTACACTTCATAAAGTTTTGTCATATCAACATAAGTTGCAAATTTCTTTTCGCGTTTGGGATCCACATGTACATTATGACTACTTTGCAGTGCCAATTCAAAAATTTGAGCAACAAATAACGCAATTCTATATGGGTGTGAACATATTTATTGATTCATAAATATTGTGACTTCTCCGATGTAATAAAGTCCATTTTGCATTTTTGTTTTTGTAGCAACCCCAATTATCTCGAGCCAGCAATGGCAGCACGTGTTCCAGTTTTGTATACCTCTGAATTGCAAAATCGGCATAATTATTCAACGAATCTTCAAGTGAAAGTCGCACATGCTTATTCTGAAGAGGCGATTCTTATTCAGAAACAGCAATAATTGGATTTAGAATGGCCCTATCTTTCTTGGAAGGGAGAAAATTATAAAAAGAATCAATCCATTCTTCCGTAACACATTAGAAGGTTATCTGTTTTGAAAATTTTTAATTCTATATTTTTCTTAGTTAATAAGGGAATTCTTATAGGTTTACTTCACATATGAAAAAGGAAAATCTTATTTTATGAGCCACATTACATCTGTGACACATGTTCAACTCACCCTGCTATTGACACAATTCGTTGTATTTTATTCTACATAACAAGGTACTTTACGACCCCATTACACGAACTATGATGTTGTGCATGACAAAATTAATGAAAGCTGTGCCAACCTTACAAAATTTGATAACGAAATAGGGGAAGCAGTTAAACAAAATCTTGGCCACTTCATCCAACAGAAAAGAGAAGACAGTTAGTGTCCTCTCAAAGTTTCATTGATGATAAAGTGATGATTTTTGAGAGTGGCAAATAGCCCCATAGGCTTTCCTACCAAATGGAAGTGAAAAAGAAAAAGAAAAACAAAACAAAAGAAGAAAAGGTACTTTGTTTACTAAATTTGAAGGGGAGCTTCACTTTTGGCTTACATAGCAAGATAAATCAAATACGTGCCCACCACCTTTGCTTATACCCCAAAGCACCCAACTACAACACTTAATTGTCACCAGAGAGAGAAATAGAGACTAATCAGTTTTCCTATTGCCTCTCTTAAAGGCTTTTTATGCTTCTCAAACAAGTATAATAGAAATTGGACATGGGGTTGGCCGTTGGCCTCACACCCCTAACTGAATTTAATCATGCTCTTCCTTACACACACTACTTATTCTTAAGCTCAGAATGGATTTATCCGTGAGTGAAAAGAACTAGCAGAGCAAATTATTCCATTTCTCTAGCATTTGAAAATGGTACTTCCTTCCCCTTCTAGAATACTAATTGGCCTCTCCTTAGACCCAGATGACAGCAAGGAACTTCTCTCATGGGCAATAACAGTTCTAGCCAATCCAAATGACACCATTGTGGCCGTGCATGTTCTTGGTTAGTCACTATTCAAAAGTTCGAAATTTCATCTCATTAAGCTTCTTATTAGTCATAACCTACATTATCACTTTTTCAATGATTTTAACATCAATGATCAATATAGATCAAACCATCTTTACATAATATGAATATTTAGTTTTCTAATAACTTGCAAACTTGTTAAATTACAGTTGCTGAGGATAAGAAGAAGCGTGTCTCAGTCAGAAGAAGGCAATCGCAACTTAGGCAGGCAAAGGCATACGTTATATCTGTGCTTGGAGAATTTGCACAGACCTGTTGGTCTAAGCAGGTAATTTTCATCACCAGGATCAATTATAAGAATATAAATGTAATCTATAAAGTTGCGTTTGGACTGGCATTTCAAAAATCCTACAATTCATATATTTAGATAGTAGAAAAAAGTAATTTTAAAATATTATAAAATTTTAATTAAGATAATTTTTATGTCAAATAGAAAAAATTTTAAATAATTTATTTTTATGGAGAATTTAAAAATCTCTTTATTATGCTTAACCTTTTGTATTTTTTATTTATAACTCTTCATAATTGACTCTCATTTTAAACATTCCTCATTATTTATTTTATTTTGTAAAAAATTTAAACTTTCTCATCCAAAAACAAAATGGCAATTTAATTTTTGTAGTGTTCAGAAAGACTAGACTAGACTTCAACATGCTTGTTACCAGAGTTTAGAATCAAATAATGCTCATGAAAACATCGTTATCAGGTTAATTTGGAGGCGAGGGTGGCACTCAATTCCACAGTTGGTGGAGGTTTAGTGGAGGAAGTTAAGTCTATCTCTGCTGACTTTCTTCTCCTTCGTGGCTCAAGAAACCGAGCAAAGAAGTATGAACTGAAATATGTAACATTTACCAATTTTCTTCATAGAGATCAGGCATGACATGACAAGACAAACCCACTTAATTTTTTTAATTTTCTTTCTCAGAAGTGGAAGTTCTAAAGGAATTTCCAAATATTGCTTTGAGCATGCACCTGAAAGCTGTACCATGGTCTCAGTTGGGAGGCGTTCAAAGGTTGATCATCAAAGTGCCAATTCAAACTCAACACATTGTGAAGGTAATTAATTCAGTTCTCAGAAATAATGTAACAAAACACAAATTACAATGGATAACAACATCAACAAACCCGTTAAATGAGATAGATACCTTGTATCTTTTCACTAGCAGATAATAAACAACCAAGTTCAAGATGGTTAAAGAAGGAAAATCAAGGTGACAAGGCCACTTCCCCTGCTCTGGAAGACTTTATTTCAGGAAACAAGACACAGAACCATTCACCAAGAACTGTTCTAGATGGACTTGAGGGACAATCCAACAGCACAGAAGATGACACCTTTAGCACTAGGATCTCTAGCACCACATATACCCCGTCATTGGATTCTAAGTCTAAGCACAGATCCAAAAGAAGAAAACCACAGTTCCCACTCAGTTTCATAGTCTCATTCCTTGCTTCACCATTTAGAAGGAAAAACTTTAGCATGTCCAAAAATGATAAGCGCCAGCCTTTGTTGAAGTGCTTTAGCTATGAACAGATAACCAATGCCACCAACGACTTCCACCAAGGTATATAAAATATAAAACCGTGGAAATTCTAATGTCATTTTTTAATTTGTGGACTCTTGAAGCTATCTTTTGAACATTGTAATAAGAGTCATTCATTCTTTTTTTTAAAACAACAGATAATTTGGTTGGACGAGGTGGGTACTCCGAAGTATACAAAGGTGATCTGTCTGATGGACGAACCATAGCTGTGAAGAGGTTGGCGAAGGACAACAAGGATCCTAACAAGGAAAAAGAGTTCCTTATGGAGTTGGGTGTTATTGGACATGTTTGCCATCCTAATACTGCAACTTTAGTGGGCTGTTGCATTGAAAATGGGCTATATCTGATTTTCAATTACTCTCAAAATGGAAATTTGGCAACTGCATTGCATGGTGAGGAAGCCTTGTGTTGCAATTCCTTATTTTATTTTATCTTTCATGAAGTAATGTTTTTTATGTAATTTGTTATTTACATGCATTGGAAATATTAACAGGTAAAGCAGGGAATTCCCTTGACTGGCCAATCAGATACAAAATTGCTATTGGTGTTGCAAGGGGTCTCCATTATCTTCATAAATGTTGCAAACACCGAATAATTCATCGTGACATAAAAGCCTCTAATGTTCTTCTGGGTCCCGATTATGAACCACAGGTACAAAATAAAATACTTATCAAATTCAAACATTTGCAGCAGGAAAAACGACACAGTTTTCACGTGATTCAATTCCTTCAACTTACCCTTTGACTTTTTTACCTCTATTAGATTACCGACTTTGGGCTTGCAAAGTGGCTTCCTAACAAGTGGACTCACCATGCTGTGATCCCCGTAGAGGGCACATTTGGATACTTAGCGCCAGAGTACTTTATGCATGGAATTGTGGATGAGAAAACAGATGTTTTTGCTTTTGGGGTTCTACTTTTGGAGATTGTAACGGGACGCAGACCTGTTGATTCATCAAAGCAAAACCTTCTCCTATGGGTAACCATACATCTCATTCCATTAAAGCGAGTGTCACAGTTCACAAATAATGCTGATTAACAATATACTAAATACTCAAATTCGTTCCTAAAAGTTTAGCAGTGCACATATCAGTTCTTAAAACTCTAGTCCCTAAAATTCATAAATCCATGTTATATTAGTATTTTTTCCAAGGGCTAATGTCAGATTTTTGTATTATCAGATAACGTGTCCCATGCTAAATTTGTCAAGTACAAAGTTGGTTATTATTCCATGTAGGAATTATCACCATCAAACAATAATACTCTAAAAGCTAGCTACCTGCACAGATTGGTTAAAGCAAGAATTTAATATAGTTATGTAACATACAGGCCAAGCCTCTGATGGAATCAAGTAATATTGCTGAGCTAGCTGATCCAAAATTAGAAGGTAAATATGATGAAGAGCAACTCTATAGGGTAGTGCTAACGGCTTCATACTGTGTGAGACAAACTGCCACGTGGCGTCCCCCAATGAGTGAGGTGAATGAACACTAATGGTCATTCTTTTGAGTTCCTTTCATTCTCAACATCACACTTCACCTGAATGAAGTTTCCCTTTTTTTACCTATTTTTCCTGTGTTTGGTTTTACATAGGTGCTAGAGCTGCTAACAAGTGGCCAAGACAAAGAGGTTGGAAAGAGCTGGAGGATCCCAAAGTTCACTTCCGATGAATTGGATGATTACTCTATGGTTTTCGGATATGATGTCCCCTCGGACATATCTTTGGAGGACTATTTGTAATTCCATATTTTATATTGTAGGCTTGTGATAGGAGTGAATTAATAAGGATTAGATTAGAACTTTGATTCTTTATTTTTGTAACTTATATATGACTTCTTTCTTGTGATTTTGTAGACCTTAGTCTAGTTTGTTTTGGTTGAGCAAATATGTATGAGGGTTGCTATTTGCATCTAGTATTGTGGTCATTCAAACCAAGATATGGAGAAAAGACTGAAAGTTCGGAAGTAAAATAATAGACGACGTTGCTTCCAACAATTAAGTTTTAGTTTCGGATAACGCAAACGTTGAAAATTTAATAGCCCGTTTTATTTTAAAAATTTTAAGATGAAAGCCCATCTCTGCTCCGTACCGGTAAGGAAGTTCAAAGCCCATTGAAAAATTATAGATAGAAGTGATATACTTGTTGACCAAAAAATTATATGAAATTGTGCAGATAGGATCTGAAAAATGTTGAATGCTTATTAAAACTTTTAGATATCTCAAATATTCGGTGGTTTCATCTTTTAAAGTACTTTTTGTAAGATTACAAGTGCTGTTAGTTTCTTTCTTACACGCTTCAAAATTGACATTAATCTCCTTTTAGGGGCAGGCATTTTCAAATATAAGATTAATTTTACCACACTTTATGTATTTTATTATTTTTAACTTGAACAAATAAATGATACATCACATTTTGTTATATATTTTTTTGTTAATTATTAGATAATTTTTAAAGGAAGAAATTTATTTTAATAATTGAAATTAAAATTATTTGTTAGTAATTACAATTAGAGGAACTAGAATCTCACATTCTCAACAGGTATGAGTACCAAATCTGTAATTAAATTTTAAATAATAGATTATTTTAATATAATTCACTTCAAAAAATTAAAAATAAAATGACATTCTTTATTATATATTAAAGAGTGACACTTGTCAGTAATAATTTTTATTTTCAAAATTTAAATTATTTTTCATCAATTATGATTTTTTTAAATCTATATTTGATTTTTTTAAAAATCATTTGTAGGTAATAACAGTAGTTTTTTTTATCTTAATCTAATCTTATATTATATATTTTAAAATACTTTAAAACAGACAAAAAAATGTATAAGATATTTTTGTAAGTCGGGATATCATTGTACTTTCAATGACATAACAGCGGAAAACTTAAGCCCAACCCAGAAAATAAATAATTTTTTTAATGTGTAAAAGAATACATAATAAAAGTATGATAAATAGTAATATTTTATTAAAAATTACATTATTTATTATTATTATTACATTAAATTCTATAATATTGAGAAAAATGCTATATATAAAATTTTTGTTATGTGTAATCGACAATGTATTAAAAAAAAATGAAAGAGGGACCAGAGTAACATGTCCTTTTAGTTTGGTTTAGTCTTTCAGTTCCTCACATGGTAAGATTTGGAAGCGAAAGCAGAAGGAAGTAACCTATAAAAGCTTGAAAATGAAGGAGCAGGTGGATCCAAATACAGGTCTAGAGAGCATATCTACAATCCGTGGCAGTTCCATGGTTTCAACTTTCTTACACAAATCTGAATCGATATTCCAAATTGAGAGGAAGTAAATGCTACATTGAAGATAAGGAGAAGGGGATGGGTGTCGGGAATTACTTACTATGCATATTTATTTTGTTTTACATGTTTTTTGGAGTTAAAAGCAATGATGAACGAGCAAAGTGTTGTGTTGACTGTGCATACCTTAACATAGTGGGGGTGTGATATGATGGACATAACTGGAATGGACCACACTGGCCAGTGGCGTTGCAACGAGACATATGAGCCCACAGGAGATGGTTTCGAAGGGTGGCACACGTGAAGGGGATGTGGGCTGGGCCCACCCTGTAGCCCATTTGACAGTGACCCCACGTCAAACAAATAACCGACACCTTTTCCTCTTCAATCTTCCGTCTCATATTTAGATAAAAACACTGCCACTATCCATATCAGTTTTCAGTTTTCTTCCGCAGAATGAATCAATAATTGCCTGTTTTGATCCTTACAATTCAATCAATCCCTATTGTAACTAGTTCAAGTAGAATCACCCATTTTCGCCTTCAAAACCACGTCATCATTCATCAATAGTAAAGTTGTTTTCAAAATAAATAAATCTTCTTTTTCTAATTTCATTTTAGAATGTTGTACGAAAGAGAAATGATATTTCATTTCAAGACTGAAAATGATTTTGAACACGAAATATTTATAAAAAAATTATATTTATTAAATCTAAGGGTTAATATATTCTTTCATGTTTACTTTAAAAGCAAATTCACTTTAAATTGTTCTGTTATATCTTAAAACATATTTCTTCTAACTACCTCAACCTATTGGATGATTGATGTGTCTTAGAAATTTGAAATAAGTTTGTCGTGTTAATTTTTTTAATTAGAGAGAGGATAGGATAAAACATATTTTTTGCATTACACATCAAATTTCAATACCAGCATAATTATTCAGTAATAATTGTATATTTATTCATTGATATAAGAAATTTGTATATATTATTGATACATCAAAGTTTAAATTAATAAAATATATTTATTCAACAAAAAATTATACTAACAAAACAAGTTTAATTACTAGGCAGCATTTTTCTGTTAGGAGGTGATTTTGTGTAATGCGTGTATACGTGCGTGTAACATGAGAAGGGACTTGTACCTTGGCTTAACAGTAGTTTTATGAGTGTGTAGCATTAATGATAGAGAATTAAACGCGTTAACAAACTACTAAATTTTGTCGTTTTAAGAAAAAAGTTGCAAAACTACGGACTTTACAAACGCTAGATACTTTTGCTAAATTCAGGTCAGCTAACTTTTGGGTTTCGTCTTCCTTAGCTTTTAGTTTAACAATTGAATTTATTCCTAGTCAAACTGCTGAGAATCGAAATATTGATGGTCATTGGGTGTATCACAGAATTTCTGAATTTGTAACTTTTTTTATAAAACCGTATATAGTATTCCCTTGAGTGATAAACAAGCACATTGACCAGAGCCCGAAGGTGATGTCGTTGTTGTTGCTTTCGAATTTAATAGTCAAGTTCAGACTTCACAAAATCACTGTGTGTAGTTGTTAGACAGATCTATCAACGCCATTTTGATCCTATCTCACAACAACAGGCATGAATCAGTGGCAGAGCCTTGCCCAAAAGTTAGTGGAGACAATGATTAATGAAGGACTGTTGCATTATATTTTTATGTACATAAATTTGCTCTTTTTATGTTATGCGTGGTCGTTTTTATATAGTACTCGTACGTGTGTTTTCAATTTGAGTAAAATATTAAAGATCAATAAAAATATTTCAAATAACCAGATAAATATATTATAAATCAAATAAAAAATAATATGTGATTCAAAATAAATATACATGGCAGAAACTTTAACTTTAATATTAAAATTTATAAAGAAACTAACAAGCAAATTTGTAAAATAATGATATCAGTAGTATTCTGCGTTCAAATTAAACATCAGTTGAGGTCATAAAATATTTCTCGTAAATTTTGAATCGTGCATTACAATTTACAAGTGAAATCAGGCTCACAGAAATTAAATTTATCAATTGAACCACGCACAATTGCATGCAACTGACTGATATTTATTTGAAAACGATCATATTCAAACGCAAAATAGAATATTTTCGCTTCAACTCATCCTGCTGATCATGAGAGAAAAAAATTCACAACAAAGATTATCAAATAAAAAAGGTTCCGAAACTTCATTGGTTGACTAGAGAAGTCTTCAAACGCGACGCAGTGCCAACCAAACACACCTAAACGAGACATAGCACCCATCTGTCAAAGATTTTTGCTGGATTTATGTTGAACGATTTAAAAATAATAATAATTAATATTAAAAAATGTAAAAAGTTAGTTTAGCATAATTAAATTTTTAAATATTAAAATAGAAAAAAAGTTCATTCTAAAAATTTGATAAGTCTTGCGTATAAAATCAATGTAATCTAAAACAAAATACTTCTCCCCATATTAGTTATAATCAATATTTTGGAAATTTATTATGTTTTCGATTTTCTTTTGTAACTCTAAATTCATATATTGAGTACAGAAAGTAGAAAATAAATTACCTATATCATAATTTGAAACTGAACACAGTGACCCACTTACCAAACCCAAAGAACATAGAAAAACGTGATTATCCTGTCACCGAAGGGATATTAAAATGGTAAATTTGTACCAATCAAGCGACGGTCGGTGTTGATTTCCACCCTGACAAAAATTCAAGTGACATATATACGTAACTATGTTTTTCCTCTTAATTACTTATCTTTAATAATAACATTTATACAACCATTTTTTTTTCTTGAAGATTAGGACTATTCGGTGAGTAGAATAAGAAAAAAAAAGTTCAAGATCATTTTTCTATTCTATTTTAGTTGTAATATTTATTTAATTAAGAAGAAATATATTCTATATTTTTTGTATAAATCTTACATCCTACGAAGGTTTAGATTAAAAAAATATATAATATAATATATTATTTTAGTATGAATAAATATACATAAGATAAGAGTTTATCAATTTTTAGTTCTGTGTGAGTCAAAAAAATGTTATGATTATAATGAAACGTTAGCTTTTGTATTTCAATTTACCCAAAATAATTAATAAATATATATTTTTTAGTATTTTGCAAGCCTGTTTTTCAGTAAATTAATATAATACACAGTAAGAATAGTTTAAGAAAATTAGTCTACTAACTAAATAACTTTTAAAAACTAAAAAAATAATCACATTACTTATGCTTTGTACCATAGTCTTAAATGGCAGAGAGAGAGAGAGAGAGAGTAAATGGAATATACAGGCAAAAGTGCTTCACACTTAAACTTATGCTTTAAACAGTAAGAGCATTTAATAAAGGTATTAAGTATTTATTATTTGACTAATGTCCTTAAATACATGAAGAATTAACACCCTACTAAATAAACATTAGTCACTAAAAACCACATTGATGGTTTAACACTTTCTTTTTTGGGACAAAATTGTCCCTCTTTCCTTTCCTTTGAGTTAGAGTTCATCATTTAATTTGTTTACTCTTTCTATTTAAAATAATTTATCGTTAATTTCGTTTGCTTACTCCTTTGTTTATTAGTTAAAAAATGAAAAGGCATTACTGTTTTTAAATTTATCATTGTTTGTAGGAATCTTTATAAACTGGAAATAATAATTATTAAAGTGGAAGAATAATTGGTAAAATATAATGATACATTTTCGAAATTAAAAAAAAAGTAATATTTTTGAAGAATATTTACATAAAAGATAACACCACAAGTTATTTGAAACGAATATGAGGGAATAGAAAGCCGAAACCTGGTGTGACCTTGGAATCCCTCTAATCCACTGACAAAAACAAACTGTTGATGTAAGAAAAAAGAAAAACTGATATATTGGTGGGGAGTGGCACACTGGCACCCAATAGGAATGGGGAAAGAGATCCGTGATCCGATTCAATATAAAAGACACTTTTATACTTAAAAAAAGACAGCAGGCAGTGAAAAGAGAGTTTACAGTACAGATTCTAATTCTACACGAGGTGAATTATCAAGCCCATTAAAGTTCTTTTCTTAAAAAAAAAAGTAAACGGGCTTTTTCTGGCGGAGACAAATCTTCAGCTCCATAACACGCTGCTGCATCGTGCTCCGCCGCTACAGGTAAGCATCACGTTCGCACCGATTCATCCCCTTTTTCCTAATAATCAACGGTTCCCACAGAATCACTACTCATTATTCTAATACTAGAAGGAGAGAGAGAGAGAGAGCGCGCGAGGTTCATGCACCCTCCCACTCCCCCGTTGTTTACTCCTAAAACGATGGCACCACGCCGTACGGAGTGTCGAGCATGAGAGCGGCGGCGGCGGCGGCAGGGCTATAGAGACGCTCCACATCGGAGTCAATTTCGGTTCGCTTTGCGAACCGGCCCTTAATCCTGGGCCGGGTTTCTGCGTAAGCCTTTCGCGAAGCGTATCGAATGGTCTTCTCGAACTTTCTGTTCTTCCTCTTCTCTCTGTATCTCAGCACCCTTGCTTCTCGATCCATCCCACACAACTGCGTGGCCCCTTGCCCGCTGCTACCGCCGGATACATCCGAACCGTTACGACCCATAGAGTACGATATCTCTGACACCGTGTTCCCGTCTGGCACCACTCCAACATCAAGAGAAGACGACGAGACCTATATGATATTAATTATAATAATCAGCACGACATTCAATTTTATAATACTAGTTTAATTAATTAGTTAATTGTTATTAGTAGTGGTGGTGCTACGCTACTCACGCTTTGGCTGAGAGACTGCGATGGGTAGTTAAATGAAGATAGCTTCGATCTGCAAAAATCGATGTCGAAGCAACTCTCTGATTGGTGATTTATCAGAGGAGCCAGAGCAGGAGCGGGTTTGGTTTGAACCGGAACGACGCTGTCGTTTCCGGCGCTGTTGTGGTTGTGGTTGTTCTGGAAGGAGTTTGAGTAATCAAAATCCAGAAACGGATCCATTTCCGCGAAGAAAAGCTCCTTGGACTTGATATCCGGAGCGTCCATGAGCTTGGACCCGAAATCTGGGTTGGGAATGAGCCACGCCGCGGCATCGGCGTCGTCGTGGGCGAAGCCGTCGGAAGCGACGGCGTCATCGGAGGGGACGATGAAGCCGAAGGAGGCGGCGACGGAGGCTTTGACGATGGAGTCGGCGGAGTCGAGGAAGGGCTCGACGGGGACGCGCTCGTGGCGGCGAGCGAGGGGGTTGGCGGAGTGGATGTCAGAGTCGCACGTGACGCAGAGGGCTGCGGCGTCTGCCTTGCACGTGACAGCTGCGGGTGCTTGCTCGCAGACCTCACACATCCAGACGCGCTCGTGGCGCGAAGCGAGCTTATTGGCGCAGTGAATCTTGGAGTCGCAAGCGATGCAGAGAAACGCAGAATCGGGGCGGCAGAAGAGAGCCGCGGAAGCCAGCTTGCAAGAATCACATGGCTTGGGCGGTACGGTCCAGCCGGTCCTAAAGCCCTTGAGGCCTCCTCTTTCAATTCCCATCACAGTAAATTTGGAAAAAACGAACCAGTTTTGAAAAACGCGGCTAAAGGTAAGGTACTGCTTCTGCTGCGGCTAAAGAGAGGATGAGTGAAAGCTGAAATGTTGGTGTTGGGCAAGTGCTTGATTTCTTTGGGTGCGGTTTTTCTATTATCTATATTAGTGACTGGTCATAGAGAGGAAATCTAGGTGATGACGAATCACTGGAGGACACGTGGTTCCCTCTTGGCCACATAAATGGTTTGCTCAGCCCAACAATGTTAGAATAGATATGTATTGGGGAGTAGTAGTTGTCATCGTGTTGTGTCTGTGCCGACGTGGGCCCTTCACGGACATTGGATGCAATCACTCCCCCTTTTCTTATATTTGCTTTTTAAACATGATTCACTCCCCCTCTTGTTTAATTTAATGAAACCAATACAAATTTAGGAGAGGATTGTTTTCTAAGGATAAAATATATCTATAATTATATAGTTATCAACTTCAATTTTTATTATTTTCAATTATTATTTTTTAATCATTAGTTATAATTGTTTTATTTTAGAGGTGTCGAATCCAGGAAAAAAGGATTCAACACGATGAATTTCTTTTTTCTCGTCTCAGAGACCTTTATAGTGCTAATTGAAATTAAAACCTTATCTTGTATGTTTTTTGTTTTCTAATTTCTTCCCCACTTTCAATCAGAACCTCATACAGTCGTATTTATTATGGAAATATCAGGAGACACAATTGGGAAGAGGCGACCAGTTGGCACGGGGAGCCAACAACTAGGCCACATGGGGTAAAACGAAATCTAGCAGAGTGAATGCCACAATTTTAAAGAGATGGGGGGACATTTCTTTTTTGTGTGTCTAAAGTGTGTTAATCATAAAATAAAACAATTTAATTGATATTTTGTTTCCTAATATCTTTCTTTTAATTTGCTTCGTTTTATTTATTTCCATACTTTACGAGATTTTCAGAGAAGTTTACGAGTTAACGCTTTTAGATGTACTCTTCCAGAAATGAGATGTTTTGTTATTTGGGGGGCAGGCAATAGCCAATTATAGATGGATTCATCTCGTGCGGACTTGGAAATTACTTTAAATAGTTGAGCATTCTGTACTGCAAAAAAACATGAAATGGTCCGATTTTATTTAACAGAGTCATTGTTTGGATGCATGTTAAAAGTTTTAAATTTAAATATGTTAATATAATTTGAAATTTTAGTCAATATATTTGATATTTTATGACATAAATGATTTTGTTTTTAAATTTATATTTGAATTAATGTGATCAATTGTATTTTTTACATTAAATTAAAAAATATATTTTATTCAATATATATATATATAATGGTATAAATCTTATTATACTTTTTTATTGTAAATTAAAAATTAATTATTTTAATAATTTATATTAAAAATATTAAAATATCTTAAAAGACTTAAAAAACAATAAGTTATATTCATACAAATTTTAAAACACTCTAGAGTAAAAAAAATCACAAACTTCATTTATAATAATTGCATTTATAAAACATTTAAATTCAAATTTACAATGAATATGTATATTCACTTTCTTATGTTACATATTTTTACACTTTTGAGAAGTCGATTCCTTTATTTTCACATGGGAATGGACTGTTCACGAAAATGTTCCAAGTAATTAAGCGATTTTTTGAATTATTTTTAAACATGCAAAATACATTATGTGGATTTGTCAACGAATGTCTATAAAAAATAAAATAGAATTATCAAATAAAAATTAGATTTAAAAAATATTTAATGTTTTTTTAAACAAATTACAGACATTTTTAGCGCTCTTAAATTGAGGGCATTTGTGATATTAAAAGCTGTTTATTTAGTACAACATAATTTTATTTTATATATATTAAGCATATCTCTAGCTTAAAGCTGAATTTAAGCATTTAATAATAAAATATTTGTATTAAAAATTATTATATATTTAATGAGTGTTTTTTATATTAAATTTTACTAAATAATATATTTAGATTTTTAAACTCAATATCAAAAATCAAGTTTAACAAAATTGTATATTTAACATTAATCTCTTGGTCAAATGCCTAAAATCATATATAAGAAATGTTTAGCAGTTTGTTCAAATATATGAAAGTTACTTATAATGTTTTAATATTTGTTAAAACTTGTTTTAATAAGTTTCGAAACAAATTTTCTAAATAAGTTATCATTTAATTAATATTTATTGAATAAGTAATTCAACAATTTGATTATTCAACACACTTCTATTAATCAATTGACCATATTTTTTCAATAAGTTTTAGTTCATCTCCAAAGATGGAGGAAGAGGTGAATATACAAAGATGTTATGTGACTCACGAAGTTTGTAATTTATGCATACTTAGTTGGACTTTGGTGAATTATCATTCTGATTCAATATTAAACGTGTTTAGTTTGACCTAGGGCATAAATAGGTTATGCGCAAGGTTTTTATCTAACTTAAGAAATTGGACTAACACTAAAAAAATATTTAATTATAAAAAGTCAAATAGTAAGTTAAGTGTGCATTCATTTGTACAAGTTAAGTGTACATCTCCTATGTATTGAATTGAGGGCATTGGATTGATAGGTTTTTGAGAACATTTTCAACATTTGATGTTTATTATTATTCTTTTATCTCGAAAAACTGAAAAGTTTGTACTAGTATTTGATAAAATAGAAGATTGAGATGAATTGCCCAATTCATTATGGCTTAACAAGATGCGTATGTATACTAGCCATCGCCTTTCCTATATGTTTACTACCATTGTCTTTTACATTCATTTGAATGACTTGATACACTAACGATATCTATCCGTCTAAAAATATAAATGCTAATAAATTATTTAATTATTAATGCATTTTCTTATCATTTGATGAAATTCATACGAAGACTACCAAATTACGTGAAACTCAATTCATTTTATTATAAAATAGTGTTAAAAGTACTTTTTTTTTAAATTATATTATTAACGCTTTTACGTCCTGTAAAGTTTTTTAGTGCACCAAGAAAACGAGATATGCACAGCCTTCGAGAATAAGCTACTCTCTTTGACCTTTTATAATAAAAATTAACTAATTAATATTTAAAATAATATAAAACTTACAATAAAATAAAGATAAGATAATTAACAACTAGTATATTTTAAAGTAAATTTTATATTTTTTATAATGAATACAAATAATCGATACCTTTAAATAAAAAGTAAAAGAGTGAAACATATTTGGATTAATTTTTAGTTAATAATTTTTTAATTCTTTTGGGAAAACATTTTGCTCATAAATACATTATATATTCGTTCACAAAGTTAACAATAAAGGGCACACATTTTAACGCGCGACATGATAAACGTAAATAGATAAATATTTTTTTAATGTATGTCTAGAAATATATAAAAATAATAATAAATAACATTTTGCATAAAAAAATTATAATATTCAATATTATTAATATATTATAATTTTTTTATTATGTCTCCCTCAAGCTTTTGATATATATTAAAAAAAAACCCAACAAGTAAACGCATAAATATATAATTTGGATTTGGAGAAGGCACAAAGTAAATATGGGATAGTGGGTATCACAATCATTGCATCTAAGGCACTACCAGGAAAGTCAAACAATGCGAGAAGATTGGAAATGATCTGCCCGTGGGGACCGTTTATTTTCTTTGCCTGCAGATAAAATAATAAAGCATTGGAGCCTCAAGCAGTTTTTTAATAGAAACTAGCGTACTAAATCCAGTTAAATTAATTTCATTTTGAATTTGAGTGAAATTTTATATAATTTTTTACATAGACAAAGTAATATATAAAGTTTTGTTTGATAAAATTACTTAAAAAGTTAGTTGAAATTTTTAAAAATAGTCAATTAAATTAAATATATTTACTAAAATTAATTGTCATAACAAAATAATAAATAAGAGCATCATTTTTAAATTTTAAATTTAAAATGTAATAATTATATCTTTAAAAAAATATTATTTTGATTTATTTTACATAATTTATCATTTTTAAATTAGAATGATAAAAATTTAACTTGACACTCCTCTGTATGTATTTTATTATAAAAAAATATGATTTAATAACTTTATTAAATCATTCTCAAGAGATTACTTGATAATTTTTTATTTTGTAAAATAATAAGTATTGTGATATTTATTAAATTTTTATTATTTGTGACATTTTTTCTTAAAATGCAGCAAAAGTATAGAAAATACAAATAAACAATTACTTAAAAATATCAGGAACAAAAATAATAAAATAATTTATAACAAGCTGTTGAAAAAAATTTGTTCACATGAGTAACAATTTTTAAAAATAATAATATTTACATACTTAATCTAATTTATTAAACAAAACTGTTAAACAACTTTTTAACTAACAAAGTAAACTTGTAGAGACATATTTTACTAAATACATGCAAAAAAAAAAGTAATCAATATTATTTTAATATTCTACATAAATATATAATTAAGAATAAAATTTGGCGAGTAATACTTAATGCCCTTGATAAATCAAAAGTGAAATGTTTTTTGAAAAATGTAATAAATAAATCACTTCTGTGATTTTTATTGAAGTTATTTAAAAAAAAAAACTTTTTAGTTTTGATTCCTTAGAATAGATCCACATAAAATTTATCTTATCTTTATACACCAAAAAATGAGACAAATTTATTAAGTCATATATGAGTTTAATAAATACTCTAAAAGAAAATTTGTTATTTATATTGATTTTATCTAATTTAAATATAATTATTTACTTGAAGATAAAACTTTGCCACTTATATTAATTTTATCCAATTCAAACATGATTGTTTCTGATGAATAATATATTTGTAGTCTAGACAAAAAAATAAATAAACATTTAAAGATTATAAAATTTTATCAAAAGTAAAATATTTATTACACTTTTGTATTTTTAATATAATAAATAAAATTTTAATAAAAAATATTTTTAATGCTTATTTAGACTTAGATAAAAGTATAATTAAAAAATAAATATTTGATCAAATTTCGGATCGACAAACAAATAAAGGTTTTGTTTTTCAACAACTGGACAAATGCTGGAAAAAAGTAAAAAAATATTTTTTTATTAAAAATAAATAGACATAAAACTAGAGGGAGTATTAT